TCTTCATGCATTTAATTCATGTTCACTTAGTTAATAATCAATAGGATATAACTGCTTTAAATTATTATGTAATTCAATTATCATTTTTTGTTCTCACCATTTATCTAAAAAATTATGCCAATTTACATGACTACTAGTTCGTCTCTTTAAGTAATAAGAAAAAACTTTTTTTATAAGAATATTATTATCCTATTTGTCTAATGAACAAGAAGGTGTAGCAAAAATTAATTTTTGTGACAAATTATTTTCAATTCCATATAGTATCCTTCCAATAAATTTCATCAATTTAACCAACTTTGCAGATTTAAAATATTCGCTAAAAACTTTTTTTCATACTAAATCAAGTGTATTTTCATAATATATTTTTTAATTTGTTTTTTTTTATTATAGTTAATTTATATATATCATTTTCAAATTCTTGAAAAAATAAATAATGCTATTTTTCTAATTGAAATGAAAACTTGACTTAAATCTAACCCAGCATATCCTTATTGATTATTCTTAGATTTCGCAATTTTAAACACAAAAATATGTACTAATTCAAGATCAATAAAATATGGACGAAATAGAACTCCTTCCAATAGTTTTTCATAAATAGCTGATTTATCAAATCCTATTATTAGAAAACCAGAAAATTTAGTTTTATTGTGAAATATTTTTTGATAAATGGTAGATATTGCGTTTGTACTAGAATTACTTGGTTCATCAGTATAAAATTCCTCACAGTCACAAAGATATCCTAAACATTCTGAATGTTCTTTATTACCCTTCACAACTATTATAATAAAATTATACCCTTTTGAAAGGTTATTATTTTCATACGTAAACGAATTAGAACCAGAAATTCTGTTTTCTTATTACAAGATATTCACCAATTGTATGAAAAGGATCCAAAATGCAGTTCTGCATCAATAACTCTCATTAAAATTAAGGAAACATCAGTTTTTACTGTTACTCATTTAGAATAGTATTTAATTAGTACAGTTGGATATAGAAAGAGAGATTCTTTCATTTTTTTATTTCATATATAAAATGATATATATAGCCCTGTTCAATTCTAGATCAGATCTATTGACCGCAAAATGTGCCCTTAAATGATTGGTTATTAAATCGATCAGTGGTCAGTTAAACTGATCTATGAAAATAGGTATTCACCTCTGATCGTTCCTGATAAACTAACGTGATGCATGCCAGTAACCAACCATATTTATTGTTTATAACATGATTTAATCAAGCCATTCAAATTGTGCTCAATTGTAACAATGATCTGATTAACTATTTATTTTTTCAGTCGATCCAGTCTGATCTAAAATTGAACAGGACTATAATTATTTCTGATTGAATATTAATTAAAATTACTGATTTTTTTTAATTGTTATACGAATCACTATTATTTATTTTTTTTTATAAAATTTTTGCAATTTGATTTCTTGCAAAATTGCACATGACTTTTATTTACACTATTACGCAATAAGCTTTTAGACTTTCTGATTTAATTAAACTATTATTATTTAACTAGTCTGAAGAAGTTATAATAATGGAATTCATTGTATTTTATTAATAATAGATTGCCTCTTCATTTATAGGTTCCTGGACCACTTCATTAAATAGTTAAGTTTTTCAATATTTTTCTAGGTGTATATTATTTGTTTTTTTAATTAGAACTAGTATTTGTATTACTTGTAAATACCCATTCTTTTTGTTAAAATTAGATGTATAGATTCATAAAACTAGTTAATACCAAAATAATTGGGAAAAAAGTTGTTTTTCGACCTGAACATCTAAAAAAAATGGATTAATATTTATATTTATCAAATTTTCGATCAAAAAAAATAGTCATTTTTTATTAAGCAAACTTTAGGAATTTAATAATAAAATATGTAATCAATGTACATGAGATTGAAAAATAAAATTGCAAAATGCCAAGCTATAATTTTTTCTGTCTTAATAATTCCATTTTGCATCAAATATTAAAATAATACTTTAAGTTCTTTGATTAAATTATCATAATTTAAATCATTCGCTTCTTGATAGAATTTTTACCAAAAATCTGATTTACC